AAGACAATGATCTATAATAGACTATAGGCTGAAAAGATTAAATTAATCCTTTAACTCTTCAGGTAAACACAACAATATATGAATTTATCTCTTGGGTTTAAAACATTCTAGATATGTAAAAACTTAAAAAAATTTAAATAAAATGTCTAAAGCTAAATTTGAACTCAAGAAAAGGAAGCTTGATCCCATGTATAGTGAAAAGCTTGCTCAAGATCAGAAAAAGAATAGTTATTGATACTTATGTTGTGCCAGGCACTATTCCTGGCAGTTTATATCTATTAACTGATTTAGTTTTTATAACCACCCTGTGATGTACAAATAATTGTATCCATTTTACGTGTTAGGAAACTAAGGAACAGAAGTTACGTCACTTGCCCAATATCCAGAGAGTCAATGAAAGATTGGAGTTGGGGGTGTGGGTAATAGTGTTAAATCCTTTAACTGCCTTTCATTCTAACAAAACTCAACCCTTGAAACATAAATGACAGCGAACTATGAAATAGATGAGTTTTTTTAAGTTAAAGCATTTGGTTGCAATATTTTATTATCCACAGTGTTATACATCTGTGGTTCCAATATCTGAACTGCCTGACCCATGATTTGAGTGACTTTATTTTTTAATCATACATTTGTTTTTTCTTTAAGTTGAGATATCAGAAAGTTGAGACGATACAAAATGATCTTAGTAAAACCACTAATGGAAATATACTAAAATGCTTCCGAGTATTTTTCCTATACAACCAAATTAAGAAATTATCATATAGTACACAGTGTTGTGTTCTGTTTTATTCTATCATTGGCATGTTTGGAGGTTACTATATATGTAGTCAACTTTATAACAAAGTTTTAATGGCCCATTAAATGGGACAGTTTTCTAATCTTTGGACATTTAAGTTGTTTTCAGCTTTTTGTTCTCATAAACATGGCAAATAACCTGATGTATTTTGCTCTTTCTGTATTTAAAAATTTTTTTTTTATTTTTAGGATTCCCGGAAGCAGAACTCCTGAGTCACAGGTAGGTACAATCTATGACTTGATGTATGGTGCTAATACCACCAATTATGTAAGAGTGCCAATTTCATCCAATCTTTGCCAACAATGGGATCTATTAAAATGACAGAATTTTAATGGGTAAAGAAATGGTATCTTTAAATTTAAATATCTTTAATTACTAAAAAATTAAATTTTTTTTTTTAGATATTTCTTATGTGAATAGTCTGTCTTTATATTTAGCTATTTACAATAAACTCTCTTCTGTGTTTCAGGCTCCCCCAAGTATGAAAAGAGAAAAAGCTGGTCCAGGCCTACCTTCCAGAGACAAATAAAACAGTCTTGAAAGTTTTGGAGTCTTTGTAAAGAAACATTTTGTGATAATTTGAAGTTTACAATTACCCTTTAAACAGCCTTGCCTGTCACAAATCTACTCAACTTTACTTTCTTCTTAATTTCATGCTTTGAAGAAATAGGCTTCAGGGCCTTCAGCCTTCACTCTTATTCCTCAAACCCTCCAGAGGTTTCTATCCTCATCCTCTCAGGTCCTACACCTAATATCTTTCATCCCATCTATTTCCATCACTTGAGGGATAAGTGACTGTTACCCTCCCTGGGGAAATTAACCTTTAAGAGGAATGTAAATTAAAGCTAGAAGAATGTGGAGTTGTAAGGTTTGGCCAATGGGAGTGAGAATTTTCAAGGTTATCTCCATATCCAGCTAAGGCCATGTGGCGCTTTTGTGTAAGATAGACCCCCCACACACCTTGAGCATAGAGACTGTGTTAATCTCTGTAACAGTTGCCTACAAAGACATAGCACTTACTATATGCTGGATTCTGTTCCCCACATGTCACACATGTTAACGTTTTTCACAACAGTCTTGCTAGATAGCCACCATTATCTCTGTTTTACAGATGGGGAAACCAAGACACTGAACATATATTAGCTTGGGCTGCCTAAAAAATAGTTGAAAAACCAAATTGGGTGGCTTAAACAACAAATTTATACTCGAAGTTCTGGAGACCGGAAAATCTAAGATCAAGGACTGAAAGGTTTGGTTTCTGGTGAGGATGCTTTTCCTGGATTGCAGACAGCTGCCTTTTCTCTGTGGCTTCACAAGGTGTTGAGTGAGTGTGAGTGAGCAAACTCTGGTCTCTCCTTATGAGGACACCGATCCTATTGGATTAAGGTCCTGCCTTTATGACCTCATTTAACCATAATGACTTAAAAGCCCTGTCTCCAAATATGTTGGGGGTTAGAGGCTTCAACATATGAATTAGGGGTGGATACAGTTCATAGCATTCTGTCCCTGACTTCCCCAAATTCATGTCCTTACCACATGCAAAATATATCTATTCCATTCCAACAGCCCCAGAAGTCATAACTCATTCCAGCATCAACTCTAAAGTCTGAAGTCCGCAGTCTCATCTAAATATCTAAATCACATGTGGGTAAGACTTGAGGTACAATTCACCGTGACGCAAAATTCCTCTCCAGCCGTGAACCTAAGAAACTAGACATCTTACGTGCTTCCAAAATACAATGGTGAACAGGCATAGGATAGACGTTCCATTACAAAAGGAAAAGAGGAAAGAAGACAGGGCGATGGGTCCCAGTCAGGCCCCAAACCTAGCAAGGCAAGTTTCATGAGATCTTCTGGCTTCACAATAATCCTCTTTGGCTCAATGTCCCGCCTTTCAGGACCCCTGGGTGGCAGCATCACCCCCACACAGTTCTCTGCATTGGCCCTGCCCTCTGAAACCTGGAAGAAACAGACTTGCCCCCTGGGCCTGTAGTCGGAGTGGCAGCCTTGATGATCTCTCAATTGCCTTTAGGGTCATTCTTCTCTTTTCTTGAAGAACAGTGTGTGTTTGCAACCAGAAAGCTCTATGGTCTAGTTCTATAAGGTCCAGGAAGTCCAATACTTGCCTTTATTCTGTCCTGCTTTCTCTGTTTGTTCTCTTTAGTTCAAACTGGCAGTGTCTTTGCTGGTATAATCCCATCTCTATTCCTGGCTTCTGCTGAAGTGGCTGATTATGAGTTGTACCTATGACCTCTTTATCAAATGGTTGTTCAACTATACTCTTAGTGCTCTCTTTGGAACAAGCTTTTTCACTTTCTGCAATATAGGTAGGCTGAGAATTTTCTAAACCTCCAAGTTCTGGTTCCTTTTTGTTTAACAATGTTTCCTTCAATTCACCTCTCTCCTTTTGCATTTTACTATAAGCAGTAAGGAGGACATAAGTTGTACCTTCAATATTTTGCTTAGAAATCTCCTCTGCTAAATATCCAGTTTCATCACTTGAAAATTCCACCGTCTACAAAACACTTAGAAGACAATTTAGTCAAGTTCTTCGCCACCTTATAACAAGGGTTGCCTTTCCTCTGGAGTCTGGGGTCTCTCTACCAACTGTGCCTGGGGCCTCACTGCCCTGTATGGTTCTCCCCTCATGGCTGGGATTATAGTTGCTGGTTGTGTCATTTTAATTAGTAATAAGACTAAGTACTTTCATTTGGGGTCTGATTTTTTCTGCATGACAACGCTGGGTGGTAGGAGACTATTCGTTTTCCAGGGCTACCATAGCAAAGTACCACAGACTGGGTGGCCTGAACAACAGGAAAGTGTCTGAGATCAAGAGATCAAGGTGTTAGCACGGTTGGTTTCTTTTTATTTATTTTTTATATATTTTTTATTGTGAAATACACATTTTTAAAAATTAGTTTCAGCTGTACAACACAGTGCAATAGTTATACTTTTTACCCCTCGAGGTGACAACCCCCCTCCCCCAATCCACCGCCCCACTCCCCCCTCAATATCATACATATCTATTACAATTCCCTTGACTCCACTCCCACACTATATTCCACGTCCCATGACTATATATATACACTTATAGCTGACATACGATATTATACAACATCAGCTTCAGGTGTACAGTGCAGTGATCAAGCCTCTACCCCATCCATGAAGTGGTCTCTCTAGCAAGACATGTGACCATCTGCTTCTGACACTTCTCTCCTTGGCTGTAGTTGGCTGTCTTCTCTCTGTGTCTTCACATGGTCTTCCCTCTGTGCCAATCTAGGTCCACATTTCTTCTTCTTAGAAAGATACCCATCCTATTGGATTAGGGCCCACCCATAAGACCTCACTTTTTCTCTTTTGATTATCTCATTACTTTATTAATCATCTTCTTGAAGACCCCATCTCCAAATAAAGTCACATTCTAAGGTACTGGGGGTTAGGACTTCAATATATGAATTTGGGGGGTGGGGCAGACATAGTTTAGCCCATAACATAAGGCAAGCACTGGGACCCTCATTTTACAGCTAGGAAGTGAGAACCCGGGATCAGAGTCTTGCCTGAGGCCACACAGTCGTGGGGACCGAGACTGCAGCCCCAGGTCTTGGACTCCCAGTTGTCTTTCCTCCGCAGGCCTCGGCTGAACTGCCACTTGTTGGGAGAGTGGTGTCTTCAAGAGATCTAGACTTAGAACTTACCTTGCTTTGAAAGCACTGTTTTCCCCCCACATCCTGCTTAAATTGGGTTCCCCTAAAAGTAGGCCATGATTTGTAGTTTATTTGGGAGACAAGCCCAGGAAGCACCAACAGGTGGATGGAAAGGTGACCTAGGGAAGAAAAGCAGCTGATGAAAGATGCATGGCTGAGGAGGTTACTGTTCTGGGCAACTGGGGCTCAGTTCGGCTGAGGAACTCTGGGAGACTGGACAACATGCCACAGAAGTGTCCTCCCAACACCTAGAGAGGAGGGACCTGGGCTGTTGATCCACTAAATCCTGATGGTCATTGGTTGAGAGCTGCTCCACTGGGATGTCAATTCTCCCAGCACCTCCAACTTGCCCACAGAAGGTCCTCGGTGAGCATGCCTGAGCCTGGAGAGTGCTAAGGCACTGCGTTAGTTATCTACTGCTGTGTGACAAATGACCACAAACTTAGCAACTTAAAACAACACATTTATTATCTCAGTTTCTGTGGGCCAGGAGTCATACGTGGGTATGGCTTAGCTGGGTCCTCTGCTTCAAGGCCTCTTTCAAGGCAGAAATCAAGGTGGTGGTCTGGGCTGGGGGTCTCAGCTAAAGGCTTGGCTGGGGAAGGATCTACTTCTAGTCTTATGTGGTTGTTGGCAAAATTCATTTCCTCTAGGACCTTTGGACCGAGGACCTTGGTTTCTAGCTGGCTGTTGGACAGATGTCGCCCTCAGTTCCTTATCATGTGGTTCTTTCTAACATGGCTATTTGCTTAATTAAAGCAGGAAAGCCAAGAAGGCAATTAAGAGAGTCAGCTAGCATGATGAAGAATCTTATGTAACGCAATCACAGAAGTGACATTCCATTCCCTTTGCTCTATTCTGTTAGGAAAAAAATCACAGGTCCTGCCAGTACCAAAGGGAAGGGGGACTACACAAGGGCATGAACACCAAGAGGTGGGGACACTGTAGGTGTCTGTTGCACTGCCGTTTTGCTCTCTTCACAAGTTACTGCTTGCCAAAAACATTTTTGTCAAGAGACTTGGCGATTAGAAATAATTTTATTGCAAATCAGTCAGAAAATCTAACTTTAAACTATCTGGCCACTGGGGGCTAGCCAAATGTGATTTTTTGGAGTCTGACATGGAGTCTCCTATGCTTCTCGGCTCCAGATAAGGGCCAGGCATCTTGGGCTTTCCGCAGTGTGGACTCTGAATCCTAATGGTCTTCCTGGGACAGCCTCTGGAGCCAACTACAGTGGAGGTTCCTTTAATTGGACTTCAGAGTGAATTTAGAATTGAGGGAGAACCTCAGGAACTTCAACTAAAATTCCATCAAGGCTATTAACATGGAAATTTATATAATGAAGTCTTGTTTCCTGTTTGGCATTGAACAATTCCTAAAGCCACAGGATGGTACGACTCTTTCCAGCACTTGTCATATTCAGATGTCATATACAGATGTCATCTGGGAGAAACTGGAGGGATTTGTTTTTTCTTTTTTCTTTTTTTGACTCTTATGGCTAGAAGAGCAGAATCACTGTTTTTGGGAAAAGGAGAGTATATCTTATCAGCCTTATCAACTTTATCAGTGTCTTCTCCTAGTTCTGCTTTTTTTTTTTTAANGTGTGAAGTTTGGTATGTTTGCCAAGATCTCTTCTTGGTTTGTGCTCCTAACCCTGTCAGTGAGCTAAGCATAACTTAAGAAAGCCAATAATTTCTATTTCTCTGACATACAAGTATAATGCGCCTGGTGGTTCAATTAATTGAAGTAAGTCATCTATTCTAGTGGACTTCTTAAAGGCATATTTACAAGTTATATAAAAGGTCCCACATGTACACAGAGGAGAATGGCAAGAACTGGAT